CCCGCCTGCCGCAGGAGCGGGCAGCGGCGTCCAAGGTGTACCTGTTTCGGAGTTAGACTTGAACAGAAAGTGCTAGCACAGTTTGTGTCGTGGATTTGCTACTTCCATAGTTTACTTGACATGGTTCAGACTGACAGGCGTTCTCTTCGGTGGCAGTCTGTAGCAGTTGAAGCTGTGAAGTGTGCTAGGGGCAAGCGTGTGTCGTCTACGTGGTGAATTCTTTCCGTGTAAGAGCATTATCTGACCAATAGTACACACACACACACACACACACACACACACACACACACACACGTTTAACTGGTACTTGAAACACACAGTATATGTTAACTCAACAAAATAACCGAGACTCAGACGAGACTATTTTAGTATGCCTTTCATCTTAGTGTCTTATCAGTGGGTTGGTCCATTTTCTACATAATCAGTGTTTTTGACCAAGACTATTGCTTGGATTTGTTTGAAAGTACAAAAAGTCACATCGTTTTTTTTTTTTCCCGGAAAGGTTTCAGAACTCCCAAAGATTTAATTTCCAACTTCTAAGTTTGTTTTTATTTTCAATCTATGACTTGACTGGTATTAAAGCTGCTATTTGATAGTAATTAAATATGTTGTCATTGATATAAACCTGTTTGGTTCAGCAAACAAACTAAAATGATTGTCATAGACGGTGTTTTATTTTTCCTGTTGGTGTTGCTGATTTGTGAGCATGCTTTAAGATGAAAAAAGCATGAATGATAATTTCCTTTAAAAGGTGCGGCATCCGATTCAGATATTTTGTCCTGATTTTAAAGCTGGTTGGTGTAGTGCTATTAAAATTTCGTTCAGTTAATTTTCTTTTTTAAAACTTGTTCGCACGTCGTTTAGGGAGCCCTTACTTCAGCAAAGGAGAGGGAGTAGGAGAGCCTTAGCATTTTTGAGGAAAAAAAAAAAAACTATAACATACAATGTACTGTATCAAACTATTTTACATGAATGACACAAGTATTCTGAATTTAAAGAAAAATTGAACATTGTTAAAAACAAGGTGTTATGTAATAAATTTATTTTTCATAAATCAAAATATGGAGTCCGCTGTATTTTTACATACACAGAGTTTTATTTTAAAATGTGCCTTGACAAGTGGCTCTAAATTAATCTCTTCAGCTGTTTTCATTAAGAATAATAATAATGTATTTTGCCTCCATAATGTAGTAACGATGTGTGATTAAGATGTGGAATCTGTTACTCGTAGTCGTATGAGATATGAAACAGACACCTTTCTAACTGCAAGTAATTGTGATGAGCCTTCCGTTTCTAAAATAACATCTAATTCTTTGTCATGCTGTTCTGTCCCAAATAATATTTTTCTTTCCTCCTTTTGCACAAAATACAGAAGATAAAACAACTAACAGATTTTTTTTTTTTTTCTTAAAAATTCAACTCATTCACATGAAAACATTCTAAAACATTTTAAAAACGGGAGAATTCCAGGACTGGGAGGCCCGACCATAACAAAACTCATCAAACTATACACTTTAAATCTCCGATTTGCATAGTATGTAAATTAGGCCTTCAAGTTGATTTACTTAAAATCCAATGGGCGTAAAGCACTTAGCGTCTGCCTGGCATCTAAGCATTCGTGCAATGTTAGCTGGTGTTAGTGTTCTCTATATGGAAATAGGATTTTTTCTTAAGTCTTAAAATACGACCTAGCAGGTAAGTTAAATTTTCAGGGCCATTTCACGGCCGAATGTTTCCTAGCCTCTCGCGAATCAACTTTAAGCATTTACACGCGCATAAGTGGAAGGCTAGAGGATCGATAACCCCAGGGCCGAAATATCGAAAGGTACCGCCGAATTCAGTATTCATTAAGTGTTTTCTTTTTAAGTTCGACTAGGTTTAGGGGCTCCTGCTTTTCAAAAATGTTACTGAGCAAATATTCATCTCCCCTAGGGACAGCTACGAAGGTTCTCATAGCCTGAGAATATTCTTTGAGGGAGCAAGAGAATTGAATGCACTGGACGTTTACTAAGCGTCTGGTGTGTGTTTAATAGTCTGTGAGGACTTGGGGCCAGACCGAACTGAGACCACGGTCCCTGTCCTCAGACACACGAAGATTCGACTCAGTTGAGGCGTCGGTGCCCACATAGGAAACACAGCAGCGGGAGCCCCACGTGGAGGGTTAGGGACCATGACTCTTTCTCTCCTGAGCCAAGGAAGTCGCCTTGTGGGGAAAGGGTCCTTGGGCGTGGGGATTGGCGTGGAGCTTGGGAAGGGACGTGGTGTTTCAGGTCGGGAGGCCGAGGTCGTGGCCCCGCCAGTCACTTAACGGAAGGCCTTGGTCCAGTCCTTCAGCTTTCCCACCCCTGTAAGTCACAATGGTAGTGACTGGGTCACAGAAACACCGAAAATCACTGTGCAAAAGCAAGCTAGAAATCACCACCACTTCAAGTTGCATAATTAACTTCATTATCTCAGTTGGACCCTTAAAGTCACACCGAATGCCTACCAGCCTGGGCACCGCGTGAAGCATTTTACGCATTTATTATTCCTCACAGAGACCTTGGGAGTTAAATAGTATTTTACAAATGGGAAAAAATGAAGTTCTGAGAGATTGTGTCCCGCTCGTCACTCTGTCGGCTAGGTGGCGAAGCTAGATTTGCTTACCTGGGCTTCCGGGCCCCAGAGAAATCTGGCCAGGATGGTGAAAGATTGGACACTGAAAACTACCAAAAAAAAAAAAAAAAAAGTTGAAAGAAATTAAAGACCTACCCAAATGGAAAGACATATGGGTTTATAGATAGGGAGACAACATTGTTGAGATGTCAATACAGCCCAAAGCAATAATGGGATCCCTATCAAAATTCCAACTGCCTTTTTTTTAGAGATGGGAGAGATTTTCCTCAACTTCATATGGAATCAGAAGGGACCCCGAACAGCCAAACAATGTTGAAAAAGAATAAAATTGGAGGACTCCCACTTTTGACTTTAACCTTTCCTGCAAAGCTACAGGAATTGAAATAGTGTGGCACTAAGGACTGTTTTTAAAATGACTTTCTGATTCTGTTGACATCGTCTTTGTGATATTTTTTATTTCCTGGGGTTTTTTTTATTTAAAAAAATGAAAAACATTTATCTAAATGTTCATTTACGTTAAAAATCTGCAGTTTGAAACAGTGTGATAAAGTGTTTTCTTTTTTCATCAAATGTTTGGGTTTTAAAATAAAAACAGCAAATTAAAATTTGAGCAAACTATCAGCAAAAATAACCTGCTTTTTTGGTAAATGTTGTTGCTTTGAAACTTAAAGAGTTATCGGAATAAACACAATTTCTTTAAAAAAAAAAAAATACGGTACTTACAGAAGTCAGACACATAGATCCAATGGAATAGAATAGAGAGCCCAGAAATAGTCCCTCACGTGTAAGGCCAGTCAATGTTTTACAAAGGTAGATGTTTTACCATTCATTAGGGAGAGAACAGTCTTCAATAAATGGTGCTAAGGAAAACTAGATGCCCACATGCAAAAGAAAGAGGCTGGGCCCTTAGCTAAGCCCATATCCGAAATTAACTGAACATGGATCGAGGTCCTAATTCTTAAGAGCTAGAACTGTAAAACTCTTAGAGGAACACATTAGAGAAAAATCTTCACGACACTGGATGTTGCCAATGATTTCATAGATACGACACCAAAAGCACAGGCAACAGAAGGGAAAAATTAATTGGACGTCATCAAAATTAAGGACTTTTGTGCATCACAAGATACTGTCAAGAAACTAAAAGGACAGCCTACAAAATGGTTTGAAAAAATATCTGCTCATCATTTATCTTACAGGATATACATTTTTCTTTTGTTCAAAGAACTTCCTTTAACATTTTTCATCGTTTTAAGTTTGCTGGCAGTGAATTCTCTCAGCTCCTGTTTATCTGAAAAAATAAATATTTTGCCTTCATTTTGAAAAGATATAATTGGAAAATGATTTCTACTTTAGAGATGCCTCTCCATTGTCTGTCTTACATAGCTACTGCTGAGAAGTTATTCTTATGTTTCTTCTTCTTTACAAAATGTGTATTTTTATTTTTTTTGGCTACTTTCAAGATTCCCTTTTCATCCCTGGTTTTTCAGTGAGTGCAGTGGTTTTCTGTAATTTTGTTCTGCTTTGGTTTTGTTGGGATTTTTGGATCCATGGGTTTATCATTTTCACCAAATTTGGAAAAATCTTAATCGCTTTTTTCATATTTTTTTCTGTCCCCTCCCCATTGTGTGACTCCAGTTACACATACATTACACCCTTTGAAGTTTTCCCACAATTCACTGATCTGTTTATTTTTAACATTTTTTTTCTCAGCGTGTTTCATTTGGGATAGTTTCTATTACTATGTCTTCAAGTTCACTTATCTTTTCTTCTGCTGAGTCTAATCTGTTACTAATCCTATCCAATTATTTTTTTCATTTCATCTACTGTGTTTTTCAAATATAATAATTCCACGTGGGCCTCCCCCTCCCCATCTCTTATCATGCTCCCGTTTACCTCTACCATTTTGACTATATGGAGCATATTAATTATGGCTGTTCTAACATCCTCGTCTGCAGTTTTCATTATCTCTATCATTTTTAGGTCTATGTCTATTGACTGATTTCTATCCCACATATGGGTCATATTTTCCCACTTCCTTGTACGCCTGGTAATTTTTTTCAGCTTTATTGAGGTATTATTGACAAATTAAATTTTAAAATATTTAAATGCACTGTGTGCT